ACTTGAGCTGCAAATGATTAAAATACTTTAATCACATATTATATTGCTGTCTTTATTATATATGCATACATGTTTATTTCGTGAACTGAATTTGATAAATAAAATATTAAAATTAATTTTACTGTTGCTGAAACAATACTCGCTGACTTATTCTACCTTGAAGACAAGAAACGAAAGTTACTCGTGACGTCGAGATGGATCAACTGTCGCCATCTCAGGCTGGATCCTCTCATGAAAAAACTTGACCATAATACTCTGCTCACATTTATACGATGTAAGACAAATAATAACATAAAATAAACAAAACAGACAGAAAAAATAAACTTCTCTGGGTACAGTTTGATGCTGTATTATTTATGTCAAAGTTATTTCTAGTCGCAAGAACAATATGTAAAACTATATTTATAAAGGGGCCTGATATTTTACATGTATGTGAAAATCTTTTGTCTTTTTTTTTTGTTAGACTAACTTATAGTGCTAGGTTAACTTATAGTGTTAGGCTAACTTATAGTGACTTTAAGGGTTATAATATAGCAGTCGTTCATGAAATAGCTAACATTACTTTGCAAATGCTGTATCCGTATTTCAGCTCCTATTAGTATCAAACTAGTGTTTTGAAAAAAGAATTGTAAGATCAGTGGAATGTTTCTATAAATTCGCTATCCAAGTATAAACTATAAAAATTATATATATATATTGGTAACAGTAATTAGCTCTCTCTTACTACCGCGCTTCCTTTATGCAAATCTATCTAAATTTACATACATTAAAGTAATGAAGCCCTGAGCTAATATATCGAAATGTTGCCTTCAAACAAGCTTTCCAACAGGTACAGAAAATCCATTAAATGAATGTCTCTAGTTTCTAATACAGAAATGACGCTTTAGGAAATAGGTTGGTGGTGGTGGTTTTTCTTAGTAAAACCACATTGTGCTATCTGCTGTGACCATCGCGGGAAACTGAACCCCGGATTTTAGCGTTGTAAGTCCGTATACTTGCCGCTGTCCCACCGGAGAACATAGTGAATAGGAATGTAGTGTAAGAGTAAATACTTGTGATAACAATACACACAAGTATTCCTCAAACTATGTCAATAACTCATAAATACAGACAAATCTCAACAGCCAATTTGAACCTGGTTATTTTATCACATGCCTCCTAGTGGTTCAGCGGTAAGTAAGTTTGAGGCCTAAAAATTCCAAAATTCATGTGTAAATATGTGTGTTTGACACAGCACAGACAGCATATTGTGTGGATAATAGTAAGTCAGTTCTTGTTGTTTTTTTATTTGTCGTAACCTAAAGTTCAAATGACAAGTTTTAGGCACAGACCTGATGAGTTTTTTTAATAATTAATACTTGTGTTCGTAGACTTAATTTTATTTCTTACTGCAACTGAAATTTTCAAGTAAATTAGTATGTTCTTTTCCTTCTGAGTTTTATAATTATCAAAACTAAAACGCTTCATCTTAGTATCACATTATGAATATTTTTACAGTTTATTCTCAGTATTTTTGATACTAAAAGCAAAGCCATGTATTTATAGACAGTTATGTCATAGTTCTGTTGATTTTTAAGCAAGAGTTTAGTAACTCCTGTATACTTTCATCAAGTCGAACAAAGTAAGAAACCTCGTCCAAAAACAACACCAACTCACAGATCTGTGTGTCTTTAAAAAGAGCTGAACGTGTAAGTATAGAATTGCGAAAGTAAAATACATTAGAAACAAAAACGACAAAGATATATTTTTAAACTAACATAATTATTTCTCAAGTCTAACAGACAACATATTTTTATTTTAAAAACCATATTTTAACTCAACCTGTTGCCATAGGAACCTTGGAATTCACCACGTACAGCAATGTAAGAATATTTAGCGCGGAATCTGCTGAAAACAATTTCCAGGCCAGCTAATGTTTCTGTAATGTGATACGACAGTATCTAAAACATGCTGGAAAACTTCAACTATGCATCTAGTAAGGTTGTCTATGTGTTTTCAAGCATGTGGGTCTTTGATGATTATAAATAGAACGCCATTTCTTTCCAAAATGTATCAAAGGTTTGTTCTACCTGTTTGTTTTATTAATATATAAACTCAGTGGATTTCACAAAGACGCTACGGAACAACGTAATTAATTCCAACCAAATATCTATCACTGTTTTGTTTGGTTTTTGTTTTTGAATTTCGCGCAAAGCTACACGAGGGCTCTGCGCTAGCCGTCCCTAATTTAGCAGTGTAAGACTAGAGGGAAGGCAGCTAGTCATCACCACCCACTGCCAACTCTTGGGCTACTCTTTTACCAACGAATAGTGGGATTGACCGTCACATTATAACGCCCCCACGGCTGAAAGGGCGAGCATATTTGGTGTGACAGGGATTCGAACCCGCGACCCTCTGATTGCGAGTCGAGTGCCTTAACCACCATCTATCACTGTGACTACGTCCTATACTAAATTGAAATTTTAAAGTTGACTACATGAGATTTTAATATAAGCCAGCTAAGAATAGCCGTTAGAGTAAAAATACCCCTACAAAGTCAGCTTTTCATTGCTGTTAGAATAATGTTTCTCATCTCTGCTACACGAAGTTTAATATAACCCAGCTCTACATTGTTGTTAGAGTATTCTTGCTGCACGAAGTTTAATATAACCCAGCTCTACATTGTTGTTAGAGTATTCTTGCTGCACGAAGTTTAATATAACCCAGCTCTACATAAGTATTAGAGTATTCTTGCTTCACGAAGTTTCAATATAACCCATCTACATATTGTTGTTAGTGTATTCTTGCTGCAGGAAGTTTAATATAACCCAGCTCTACATTGTTGTTAGAGTATTCTTGCTGCAGGAAGTTTAATATAACCCAGCTCTACATAGTTATTAGAGTATTCTTTCTCCACGAAGTTTTAATATAACCCATCTACATATTGTTGTTAGAGTATTCTTGCTGCAGGAAGTTTAATGTGACCCAGCTATACATTGTTGTTAGAGTATTCTTGCTGCACGAAGTTTAATGTTACCCAGCTGTACAGTGTTGTTAGAATATTTTTTCAGCACGAAGTTTAAATAAAACCCAGCTCTACATTGCTATTATATTAGTCTCGGTTGCACAAAGATAAATCAGCTCTACATTGCTATTGTATTAATCTCAGTTGCACAAAGATAAATCAGCTTTACATTGCTATTATATTAATCTCGGTTGCACAAAGATAAATCAGCTCTACATTGCTATTAATCTCTGTTGCACGAAGATAAATCGGCTCTAGATAACTGTTATAACTTATATGGTTGCATGGTGGTGGTGGTGGTGTGTTTTTTTCTTCTTTTTTTATATTCTTGTTAGAGTTAAAATAAATACGGGAACCTAGAAAATATTTACAATTACTTTTGGAATACTGGTTTTAAGCTGCTTGTTACATAAAATACTTGTGACTTAAATAATGATAATGCTAATAATGGCTATTTCAGAGATAGAGAACAAAGGTGTTTCTTCATTTTTACATTACAAATCTTTCAAAATCATGTTTAATGATCTCAACTCACATAGTGCTCTATATAACTCAGTAGTATATTTTTTCTCTTTATTCAGACCATAAACAGTCCTCCCTACCTGAATGAGAGACTTCATCATTTTGGAGAAGCAAATGGAATTTTGCCAATTACAGGTAAATAGGGTTAACGTATTTAAGTTCTGCTCAATGTAGATAACTTGTTTTGATCAAAAAGTAGTTATAAATACTATTATTTACGGTACACATATTGTTTACGGGTATTTCTGATATAATTTTGTGGTTTTAAACCAGATAATACCCTGCTTTCTCCCTAACTCTTAAGAAAAGTAAGCTATTTGTTTCTCTCTTTAATCGACTATGTGAGTATTTATAATCTCTACTTTACCTTGATGTTGAATAAAATCATGGTCATATTATGCATTTCTCATCTATCTTTAGTTAACCCTGACAGTCCAGAAAATTATCTCAACATGATTCTTATTATAACCAAACATACTTTTACTTGATTCTTACAAGAATCAAATATACCTTTACTTGATTCTTACAATAATCAAACATACTTTACTTGATTATTACAGTAACCAAACATACTTTACTTAATTCTTATAATAACCAAACATACTTTTACTTGATTCTTACAATAATCAAATATACTTTTACTTAATTCTTATAATAACCAAACATACCTTTACTTGATTCTTACAATAACCAAATATACTTTTACTTAATTCTTATAATAACCAAACATACTTTACTTGATTCTTACAATAAACAAACATACTTTTACTTGATTCTTACAATAACAACAAAATTTACTTTTACTTGATTCTTACAGTAACCAAACTTACTTTTACTTAATTCTTATAATAAACTTACTTTACTTGATTCTTACAATAATCAAATATACCTTTACTTGATTCTTACAATAACCAAACTTACTTTAACATGATTCTTACAATAATAAAACTTACTTTTACTTGATTATTGCAATAAACAAACATGCCTTTACTTGATTCATACAATAAACAAGCATGCCATTACTTGATTATTACAATAACCAAACTTACTTTTACATGATTCTTACAATAATCAAACTTACCTTTACTTGATTCTTACAATAAACAAACCTACCTTTACTTGATTCTTACAATAACCAAACTTACTTTAACATGATTCTTACAATAAACAAACGTACCTTTACTTGATTCGTATAATAAACAAACCTACCTTTACTTGGTTCTTACAATAACCAAACTTACTTTAACATGATTCTTACAATAAACAAACGTACCTTTACTTGATTCGTATAATAAACAAATATATCTTTACTTGATTCTTACAATAATCAATAATCAAGCATGCCTTCACTTGAATATGAATTACCGGCATATGTGTACGGCTTCAATAAAATTTTAATTGTATAAATATTAAACGTTTTTCTTAATTATTTATTATAATACCTTCATTTGATTCTTACAATAATCGAACATACTTTTACCTTAACTTGCTTCTCACAATACTCAACTATGCTTTTACTTACTTCTCACTATGCTCAAACATGCGTTTACTTGACTCTAACATACAAAAAAATTATTCACCTGAGTCAGACAATTAAACGAAAGTGTTCATCTAAGTCTGGCAGCATATAAGTATACAATGTTGCCTTCACCGAGTATAACAGTAGAAACTTATCATTTTCTTACCGTGATAATAGACTGATTTCTGTTCAACAGATTCTGACAGTTGACAAGCCTGTCATCATCTGATTCTCATGACAGACAAACTCGTCTTCACCTTAAACTGTTGTCTTTACCTGTTGATAAAACACTTCTACTTACGTTTTGACACTTACTGACCTTAAGTATCCATAATACTGATACAGTTAACTACTCTGAGAATGACGGTGGACAAAGCTATCCTGGCTAGTATTAAAATCTAGGTAGAGTTTGAACCTGGTTGTATGTGGCTTTGTTTCCAGCTGAAAATAATTATTCTAAGGATAAAATATGGTCGGGCGTGTTCCAGGTCCGGGGGGTTTGAGTCCGCGATATGCTTCTGAACAAGATACACACTTTCAATTTTGAGTGCATTATAAATGTGACATTTAATTTCGTTCGTCGATTGATAGTAGCCATGTTGGCTGCAGATGATGTTTCCTAAGCCTTGGGATCTCTGAATTTGGCAGTTTATCCAATGTATCAGATAAGGTGCCGTTATTATTTGTCCCCCCAAATACTTAATGTCCAGAAAGTTTATTTCTACCTGTACTTAACAGTCAATAGGTTTGTACTTATACTATGATCGACAAACTTAATATAAGTTTTTTACTGCTAAAAATGCTTACGGATTGTTTGCAAAATCCTTACAACTTTGATGTGGCTATATCTTCTTAGAAATTCATTACTCTCTCCTCTCAGGTGGAATTTCTTTACAATCGAATGAAAAGTTTATTTTTTAAAAACAGTGTTTACGTGTTTCACTTAAGCTTAATAAGTATTCATAAAAAGACAAGCAAAAAAATTAAACCACTGTAAAATGTAGAGGGAGTATTAATCAAAACTTTTTTTCAATTTAATATAAGAGAATGTGACATAGGGGGATCAGATTCGAACGTCGATCTTAAGCGTCACGTTTTGGAGGCTAACGTTACATGCCAGGATTAGAAACAATTAGTCCAGCGATTCCCCAGTTATAAGGGGGCACACACAAATAATGGTATGCTTAGAGATTATGACACATTATAAGTTTAAGCCGTTATTACACCTTTCCTTAATTCTTTACAGTTTGGATACAGGTATTCCAATATGATGACAAGAGAAAATATAATGTCGAGCACACAAAGTGTTCGGATAAAACTTTATACGTGTGAGTGAGTATTAAGAGTGCATGAAAATAAATTAGAATTTGACTTCATCAGTCCTGGTTCGGAAATAGCCGGCGGCATAAAAATAGCAGCTTTAATGCTTGAAATAAAAAAGAAGGAAAAACAGACTATTTAGCATATTCTTGATATATGGTTTTTCAAGAGTTACGTTCGAAATGTAGCAGTTATGTGTTCTACCAACTTATAAATAAGGTCGTATCAGGTGTGGTAAAATCCGCTTATTCTATTGAAAGCGACGTTTGAGAGTGTGTGCTGTATAGGTTGTATTAGTAGGGGTCTGGAAATACGACCTGGTCCTTCTCTACAAATTGGACCGCACTTATTTACGTTTGTTATTTCTGGTGGCAGCCTGCAGAGCATTAAGCCAGCGCTGGATACAACTGATCACTATCAGCCTACTGAACTTACAGATAGAGAGACTTATATGCCAAATTCTTGGCGGGTTTGTCTCGCTTCGCCGAGAGTTCCCGCAGAACTCGGCGTCGAGAGCCTCGTGGCGGTTACCTCGCCGTCTATCAGGTGATTTCATCAGAATCCCTCAAAGTTTGGCTTCCGTTCATTGCCCCGCCACTCCTGACATCCCATTCTCTCGTGGCTAAGACTACGTGCTTGACGCTCCATGGGAATCGAAAGAGCAAGAAAAGATAACTTCACTTATCACTTGCTTCTATCAAAGAGCTTTCTCGGCGTCAGCATCTGTTTCGAAATGTTAAGTTAAAGAGGGGGTTGATATATTCTATAATAGCAGTTCCAGGTATAGATTTAAAACAAATATATTTCAAGAAATTATCGATCATTTCGGGAGAAAAAACTTATTACATTGGCACGTTCTTTGCGGTACTCTGAGATGGTCAAACAAGCATTATATTGGCACTTTTTACGGTACTTTTAGGTGGCCAAAAAATATTATATTAGCACTTTATGTGGTACTTTTAGGTGGTCAAAAATCATTATATTGGCACTTTTTGCTGTATTTTTAGGTGGCCAAAAACATTATATCGACACTTTTTTCTTGCGATACATTGAGATGACCAAAAGCTCTTATTATTTTACCATTTTTTTCTAAACTGTCCTGTGTAAGAATGAAGCATAACTTTAACGTTTTTGGAAGATATAGTGATCGTGTGAGATTATATAAGACAAAAAAAAATGCATACTGTTAAGTTACTCCAGAAATCTGTAGTTTCAAAGAATCTCATTCTGGAAAAAAAAAAAAGATTGGTAATGGTTCTGCAGGATTTTAAATTCCTTATATAAGGTTATTAGGAAATCATTTTATATTAGTAAGAAAGTTGAATGTTATCGTTTTTTCTGTAAGTTTTAATGTCTGAATAAGAAAAGACACATAATGATTTTGCTCCAGGAGGTGGATCGTTTTGAGGTTCTGTTTCTGGTCAAATTGATGCATAATGATCACTCCCAGTAGATAACATAACTGTGAAAATCTAAATATCGAAATAAAAACATCAATGCATGATATTTATTTGTTGCAGAAAAGAACAAAGCATCGTTCTGTGAGGTTTCGCTTATAGAGAAAAAGTATTCAAAAATAAAATGATGTTTTTGGACAAGAATGGTTTATAACTGTCAGTTGCTGTGGGTAATCTTTCTGTAAGAATCTTGTTTTTGAATCAGAATAGTGTTTGATTGTCCTTTACTGTAAATGATTTGCTGTTAAAAACAAAACGACGACCAGACCATTTATAAAAGTCCAGTTTCGGATGAGAAAAGTACAAAGTAGTGAAATACCAAAATTAAGGTGCTTATTTTTTTATTCTAGTTCAGTATACAAAAACTATAACAGGGAGAACTATAACAGTCAGATGTTTCAAGATATTATTCCTTACATTCAAAACGGTAGAAGCTGATAGGTATACTAAAATGTTAATAGTTTGTACATGGATGACTAGCTGTATGTGTACTTTCAGAAGTCAATAACACGACGGATATCTAAATCTTCCAAAAGCTTGAAACGTTCGAAACTCTTACAAATAGATAAGCGCAGCATGCGTATTGCGTGACGTCAGTATGAGCGGGTTTGTAAAGGTGACAAACATATTTGCAGAAAGATTCTACATAGAAAAACACGCGTGGGTGAAGGACTTGTCGAACCCGTGTTCTCTCACGATGGATAACAATGAGAACTTTGTGCATGCCCATGGACCGCATAGTTTAAACGCCAATGATCTGCCCGACAAGATGCCCAAAAAATACACAAAGACACACACGCACGTGAATATAGTAACTTCCGTTGCCAAAACAATGACAA